TATGAAGACCAGCTTTCAATAAATCAAATATTGAATGGTGAAATTAAAAAAAATTAATTATACAAAATGGTAAAAAAAAAATAGCAATTAACATAATAAAGATTTAATTTGAAAAAAAATAAGAGCATAAAATAAAAATTAAATTAAAGGGAAAAATAAAAAATAAAATAAAAAAGAATAAAAAATAAAAATTAAATCAAGGTTATGGATCCAATGGTGAAATTAAAAATAATTTAAAATTTGATAAAAGGGCTAAGAATAAAAAAATTAAAGATCAAACCTTATATATCATTAAATGTCGAATTGAAAGGCAAAATTAAAAAGAAAAATCAATTTCATGAAAGAATTAAAAATAAAAATAAAAATAAAAAGAATAAGAATTAAAATTTTAAAAAATTAAAAATCAAGATCATAGATTCAAAATTAAAATTAAAAATAAATTAAAATTTGATAAAACTACTAAGAATCAAGATTAAAAATTAAAATATTAAATACCATAACTAAAATATCATAAAATAAGGACATAATGACTATCATGAAATTAAAGGGACAGAGGGAAAGAGGATGAAAAGAAGAGGAAGGACAACTAATAACAAATTTTCATTGTAACCACCACACGTGCTGCTTCCCGTGGAAGGAAGCGCCATGTAGCTTCCAATGCCTTAATTGAAGCTGGTGTTCTTCCACTCGATAAAGGCTCATAAGCCATTCAAAGAACATAGAGCCACCACACATGCTCGAGCCTGTATAATTTTTTTATTTAAAAAAGGCATTGAATTGCTCCTAACTCAATTTAATAATAATAATAAAAACACATGAAATGACATAAACATACCTAGACGCTGGCTTAGGCTTAGTAAATTTAATTTTAGGACATGGTTCAATCCTAGAAGAAGAAAATCTGGGCTTGTGGAAGCCACCTCACATGCACATGACAGCCAGCTCATCAAGATGTGCAATATGTCAGCTCATGCATGCTTTGCAATCGCACCACCTTGTCAGCATGCAGTTGCAAACCTCCAACTTCTATCAAGAAAAATTACTTGAAATTACGCACGGACTTTTCTTCTGACGGCAATTTCGCACGATCACTTTCTTTGTGTCCCTTCATGTTCTTCCATTTTCATGCACTTCGATAATGTGATCCTCTTCTGGCTTCCGATACCTGTCGAGCTTTACGTGCGGGGATGTCCAGATTTCCTCGCTTGTGGCTATCGCCATTTGATCTCTTCCAAGTGTATGATGTGAAGGCAAGCTGGGATGACTTTTCTATGTGTTCTGCGAACGTGTTGCTTGGAAGTTTACCAATTTCCGTAACAGTTATGTATAATCTAAGTATTTGTTCTAGCGGGTTCCGACAATTTGTCATTTTTAATCTTGTGATGGATCGAGATGGATGAGAAGGGACTGGTTTTTACTTCTTGTTCGATATTGTCATTTCCTTTACGAAATCTTGCAGCCTTTTGCTACGGCGGAAACATGGAGAAAGTTTTCCACGTTTTCCTCCCCCTCCCCTCTCCCGTGGTATTTCTCATCATCTCGGTGGCCTTTTTAAGATTTCCAAGTTCAAAGAACAATTCCCTATTTCCTAACTATTCCTAATTTATTGAATTTTCTAGGTTCAAACAACAAGTCTTTAATTTCTTTGTATTTGATAGAAAATCTAGATCCTTAATTCTATGTAAATCATGAAAATGATGTTTAATTTAATATTACCTCTATTCTTAAAATAAAATATTATTAAATTAAGCATGATAAATTAACTCCGATCCAAGAACTACTTCATTTTTTTTATAAGGATTAATTAATTAATTTTGATATACTTTAAGGGCTAGATTATAATTAATTTTAATGATAGGAGTTTTCTGTAACAACAGTAAGAGATGATCCTCCTGCTCCCGACATGTTAAAGTGGGAGGGTGAGCTTACCATGAAGGACTGAGAGTAATTAATGCAAAATCACGGGCAACTGCTTCCTTCCCTCGACTGGTAAATAATATTGTTTCTGTATAATGGTACCGTGTCATTTCACTACTTAAGAAATCACTGGGTAAACCGGGAGTGTGTTTAGTTAGGAGATATGATGATTTTTTTTTTAAGATATAATTTCTTTTAAAGGTAAATTACATCTTTAAAAGTTAAAAAACATTCTTTTTATATAGATTCTACCAAAAAAAAACTAAAGCTAACTCCTATCTAAACACACAAAAATGATTAGGGCTAATAGCAGCTGTTGCTGCTGTTGTGGTTATGTAAAAAGTATTTACCATACAATATTAAGTATTAATTTATCTGGCTAAAGCTCCTTGAACTTGGCCGGTTTAATATTGCGTTTTTTTTTTATCTGATTTTAGAAGAAAAAAGATTTTAGCTAGCCTTCCTAACTTAATCATCTGTTTTTGATGTCTTTATATAGTTATTAACTAAATGAGTGGGCCCTCGTTTCAATGTGGGCAAGATCAAATTTTTTAAAATGTAAAAAAATAATGTTTAAGTGCTATTAGTATTAGTGTATTTAAAGAAAAAGAAAAAAAAATTCTTGACATCATAGAAAGAAAATTGGAAAAAAAATAACAATTATCAATTAATCCTTAGAAATCCAAAGATAGAAAGCTAAAAAAAAAAAACCAATGAACAAAAAAGAGTAAAAAAATAAAGAATCAAAATACTTGAGTAAGCTGGTCACCAGAACTTGCAAGCAAGATCATGCAAATAGGATAACCTAAAAGAGAACAAAAAAAAAAATACTTAATTAAAAAAAAATCAAAATTTTAAAGGACAAAAATGATATTAAAAAAACCCTCAATAAGCACATGGGCCGCCCGGCCAAATCTGTTATCTAGATTATGAGATGATGATAATCTGACTGTAAGGAAACCAAAAAAAGTGACAGTTTATTTTTCAAAATAAAGAACTTCAAAGGATGTAATTGAAAAAAAAAAACAACAATAATGTCAATCTGTGTTAACTTTTCAAACCATTGACCTTGGCTAGTGACTAAACCAAAAACACCTCATTTAAAAAACTATTATTTTAATACTCAACTCGACCTGGTAGGTTGATCCATAATCCTAGTGCTTAGGTCAGACTGAGTTTTAAAAAAAATTAAGGAAGAATTGATTAAGTATGAAATGATAAAAAACTCAAGTTGATCTGTAACCTAGTCAAACCGGGGCAAATTAGGTCAAAATTCATTGACTATTATTTTATTTTATTTTATTTTTTAAAATGATGTTATTTTAATGTTTTTATAAAATAAAAAAATTAGTTAACTTCAGTTAACTCAGGTCAGCTCACCTAATCCACAACCTTAAATTGACTTCTTAGTCGGATCTAAAAACTATGAAAAACACCATGAAGACCAGCTCCCAATAAATCAAATGTTGAATGGTGAAATTAAAAAATTTAATTATACAAAATGATAAAAAAAAATAACAATTAAGATAATAAAGACTTAATTTGAAAAAAAAATAAGAGCACAACATAACAATTAAATTAAAGGGAAAAATAAAAATAAAAATCAAATTAAAAAAAATAAGAATAAAAATTAAATCAAGATTATAGATCTAATGATAAAATTAAAAACAAATTAAAATTTAATAAAAATACTAAGAAACAAGATTAAAAATCAAAATATTAAAAAACATAACTGAAATATCATAAAATAAGAGGACATATCTCATTTTTTAATGATCATCACGAAATTCAAGAGAACAAAAAGAGAGAGAGAAAAAAAAAAAGAATGAAAAGAAAAGGAAGAACAACTAATGACAAATTTTTATTGTAACCACCACAAATGCTGCTTCTCGTGAAAGGAAGCGTCGTGTAACTTCCAATGCCTTAACTAAAGCTGGTGTTTCTTTATTGGATAATGGCTCATGAGCCATTCAAAGAGTATAGAGTCACTACACATATTTGAGCCTATAATTTTTTTATTTAAAAAAAGCATTGAATTGCTCCTAATCCAATTTAATAATAATAAGAAAAAAAACACATGAAATGACATAAACACAACTAGATGCTGGCTTAGGCTTAGTAAATTTAATTTTAAAATAGAAGTCGGCTATAATGTCCCTTAAATATCCAGTAATGATATTTATACCATAAGAAAAAAAAAATGAGTTACCCTTCTAACCAGGGTAAATGTTGTTGTATGGTAGGGTTAGAATAATAAATTTACTGTATGAATTCACAGTAAATTATGAGTATGTACCGATACCTTCTTGTCTTTTGATTTTTGAAACTTTTTTTTTTTATTATTCTATATATTTTTAGTTTTTAAAAAATTTTAAAAACAAAAACCAAGAATAAAAAATGACAACTTTGCCAAACGGGCGATGATAGACAGCCGTGTGAATTGGTGATCTTCTTGTGCATTTGGGTGTTTGCTTTATAATATAGGCCAACAATGAGATGTTTAGATTTCCAAGAATAAAAACTTATCTCGGAAATGCTTGATTCTTTTAACTCAAAAAATAAAAATAAAAATGGAGTCAACATGCATGTTTTAAAGAGAATCACCTGTGAAACATTATTGATGTGAATTGTGATTGTTTTATGTTTTATTTTTATTTTTATGAGGAAGCCATGTTGATTCAATGCGTTATACTAGAAGGTCACGTAAGTAGCTAGACGAGGCTGCAGTCCTGGACCATGCTTAAATATCCTTTCAAATCACCATTCGCCATGAATGAAGAATCTCAACCCGTGAAATTTTCGAGCACACAATCACTCGATGAATTTGATATTGTAGCCAAAGCAGCAGCGAGCCCGACGTGGAATCCTAAAGAGCACAGCCCATTAACGCCACGTGGCACAAACCCAGTTGCTTATCTTTGCCCAGGTTATCTTTCTCCTCCAGATTCTTTTAAGACCAGAGGAGCGAAGGAAAAGATCTAAGAACATGATAGCTACTTCATTCACTATTCAAGGCCACAGACATTTGATCCTTGAAAGACACGAACTTGGTCCTTAAGCATCAATTCAAACGTACTTTTTTCTTTCTTTTGCACCCTTTTTTTCAATTCTTTCTTCTTTTTTTCTGCACAAATACATCGATTATATCGTGACAATACAAGGACATCAAGATTAAAGGCACAGATAGAGGGAGGAGGGTGCATTTGACATTGAAAAGCCAACGTATCTATATTTACAAACCAGACAAAGCCCCGTAAATTAGAAATTGAAGGATCGCCAACAATGATTTTTTGACAACCAACATAAAACTAAAGGAAAAAAAATCAAAGAAGAAACTCAATGGGGTCGGGTTGCTTTTTTGGCACCATTGAAACAGTTCCGTATCATCTTGGAGAATCCAATATCTGTCCAGTGTCCAATCACAATATTGCTGACTTGTTCCGGCGGCTTACCTTTACAGGCAACCCACATTTGGGCACAGGGAAAGGACCATATTGTATACCATCGTCGTCTCCCACAGTTTGCCACCTGAAACCAAGCATCACAAGATCACAAATTAAATCAGGAATCACAAAATGTTTATGGCCATATATCGACTCTTTTTATCGTCATCATGGCTGCATTTAGTATGCTAATGATCAGCGTCAATATCTCCATGAATATACAGGAGAACAATATAATCAAGTAAATAGTATAACAGACAAATTTGAATGTCTAAAATCCGCTTGGAAAAGTAATGAAATAGCAGGAATGATTTTTCTTCTCTCTCTAAATTAATTGATAAGAAATAATTTTAAAATAGTGAGGACAAAAGAAGAGAAATGATGTGGCCTACGAGAAAGGTACTTCAGAAGGAATTAAGCTTGTGGTGTCGACCAAACCTGGCTCCGTTCATGTGTGCCACACCATTGAATTTGTCTATAGTAATTTCCATAGCTGGCATACTAAATGGGCTCATACTTATTTTGATTTTTTAAGACCGCGTAGCTGGCAACCATGTCGCTTATATACTAGCTGAAGACCGTGTTTGATTCGCATGCTTAACATTATTCCCATGAGCCGTTGTTGCTGTGGAATTATTGAGGTATATATAGATACGTACGAAGATGGCAAGTTTCTGGGTTCAAATATTTTGGGGGATATGCATATGTGGTGATGAAAATCCTACAAAAAAATTTGGATATTTGGTGACTGTAACCTTCTCCACGTCGAAATCAATTAGATATTAATTACATGTATATAAACCTGAAATCCACATATATAAGGATGTGTCAATTTCACTTGCAGTTGATTATGATTATGCTTACTTAGTCTAAGTATATAATATACAACTATCATTGAGATATTATTTAATAATTTAAAATTAATATAATTCTTTAATACAATATCATAGTTTTATCAATTAAACAGTTATAAATTTTAAATCTTATCATTTTATTTTTATTTTTTTCAAAGTTAAATAAAAAAAAGCATGAATATATAAGTTGAAAGATATTTAAAGAATACTTTTAAGTTAAATAAAAAAAAGCATGAATATATACAAATTTTAAGTTGAAAGATATTTAAAGAATACTTTAAAAAAATATAAATTATATATTAAAATCTAATCTAATAATTTAAATTATTAAATTACAATACTATAAAATTATAAAGAAAATGGAAGAATTTGAAGCAAAATCCTATAAATGGAGTCGGAGTACAAGCTAAAAATTACAAGTTGCTCCTCTAGTTCTAAATAACTCTTGGAATGACTCGTGCCTAGGTAATGGAGCAAGTACGTTAGATTCATGTATCATGCATGAAAGCCACGTATAATGAAAATGATTCTAAATTCTGTTTTTTTGCTAGCCTGGTATCCACTACTAGAATCCACTTAAAAGGATAAAAAAATAAAACAAAAACAAAAAAACGGCCCCACCGGTGTTTCATTGTTACCTAGGACCACTGCCACGGCCCGAGGAAAATCAAGAGGACCACCACAACACCACCATCAGTGGCTTCCCAAGTCAACCAACAGCAGACCTAACCTACGTGGCTCGACCTTTATCTTACATTCAAAACAAAATCACTAGATAAGTACGCTATCCCCCCCACCCTCTTCAAATTAATTAGGTATACAGTCATGTTCAGATTACCCAAATCCTTTGATTAATGTAATTAAGCTTATCATCATGAGTAATATTGATACGTGTGTGATAGATTACGGACCTGTAAGTGGTGGTGAGATGATGCAGCAGAATGAGCATCTCAAGCTTGGCAAGCTCACTGCCTGGACAGGAGTGCAATCCATTGCCGAAGGGCATGAAAGTGTTAGGTTTCGGTGGCACCTGCAACATCACAGAACATACTCGTCTTCATCTCTTTCCTTGTTTATCTTCATCATCAAGTAATTAAATGTATAAGCTCTGAATATATATATATATATATATATATATATGTATGTATGTATGTATATGTATATCTTTTTCCACATATATATAGGAGATGATATATTTATAAATATATATGATTCCAAACAGGATCATACTTCGTTAGAGTAGTTGCTGTTTATGTTTGCTACTATACCCTACAAAAACCATCTCACGTGACTGGATACAGAAAAGATTTCATGACGACGAGCTGCTATCGATCATCTAAATACAGGAAAGATTCACATAAACAAAAATGAAAAGGACACTACCCATCAACCAGGATAATCTCTCTCTTGTTAACTTTGTATTTCTACGTAATCCGACACAAGATAGAATGTATAGCGGTGTACGTTTGACCCACTTCATGAAACTTGGTCAGTGACTCAGTTAACACAGAATGCATAGTCGACACACATGTAATATTTCTGGTATGTAGCTAAGCTTACGTACATGTGAATTAATTAATTCTGGCCCTCACCTCGAATCTTGAAGGGTCAAATTTCTCAGGTCGAGGGAAGAAATCTGCACAATGATGAATGCTTCTAAAGAGAGGAAGAACCTTCCAACCTTTGGGGATAAAGTAGCCTTCAAACTCAACATCTTGCACTGCTTCTCTGAACGTGAAAGACAGTATACTTGCTGTTCTTAGCGTCTCTTGGATCACCTGAAATTAAAATCATAATCAATTAAGATTGCAGCACACACATATATGTGGAATATTCATTGTAATATAATTATCATAAAGACTACAATAGTAAATTAATTTGTTTTGTAATTTTTTGAATATTCAAATCACAAAAAAAGAGAGGATGACGATATGTCAATTGAGTTAGAAACTGAAATAAATTAAATTAGACAAAATTGATAATTGATATTTGTACCCGACTTGTCAATGGCATGCGCCTTGAATCATCCCAAGTGAGTCCACGATTTGCCTCTACTATTTTGCTTCTAATTCCTTCCTGTTCTCTCTGCAACAGACAATTAACTTTCAATTACTAACATATACCATCCAATTCATAGTTGAATAATCCAATATTCGATTGCTTTCTCTGTCGCAAGCTTCTCTCTTCAAAGGCATTATTTTAATAGACCAATGATCGGTCAAAATAATAATAAAAAAAGAAATAAATTGAGAAAAATCAAGTTAATGAAGACAAAAGAGTAAAATCATACTATAAAAAAGAATAATGAGACGAGACACAACTTGACAAATACACTAATGATAAATCATTGGCAGGAGGGGAAGCTAGGGGGATGAATGGATTGGATTAACGTGGGAGATATTAACTTACCGTGACAGCTTCTAATAAATCTTCATTATCATGCAAGTACTTCAAAATCCATGTCAGGACACTAGCAGTAGTATCATGAGCGGCAAAAATCACTCCAATTATATTATCAGCGATTTGAGAATCGCTAAGCTGATTAAGCTTCTCATCATCTTTATCTCCTAATAATACTCCAAGCAAGCCTCCTCCTTGTCTCCTGCTTTGCCTTCTCTTCTGTATCAATTTCTTCAATGTCTCGTTCAGTAGCTTCCTTGCCTTTCCAAACAAACATCAAAACCCGGCACCAGTTATTATTAAAAATTGTAAATAGAAAAAATCAATAAATATATATGTTTCCTTGATACTATTGACCCGCAAAAAATACAATGTGTGCATGACAAAGACAATGTAGAATTCAATAGACAGGGAGCCAGGCCGCTCCTTACTTTCATTGCTTTGTGAAAGGGTGTTCCTGGTAAATCTAGAGGCATAGAATTATATCCCTTCTCCAGGCGCTGATACAGATGCTTAATTCCGTCCATTTCCACGTCTTGTTTTTCACCGAAGGCAGAAATCATTGCCACATCAAAAGCATACTAAGAAAAAGTACGTTTTTTTAGTACCTCAATGAGACAAAAGTTGAACTGGTAAAAGATTAGTTCTTAAGAAACAGATATATATACATACCCTCTTCATTTCTTGCAAGGTGTTGATAGTGGTGTTTTTCCAAGAGGGAAGAAATCTCAGGACAATTTGCTCAATCTCCGAGACAGACCCTCTTATAGCAGAGGGTAAAAAAGAGGCCTGCACCAACTTCTTGAGCCTTGAATGATATGCACCTTGATGAAAGAACAGGGCCTCTGGTCCTATCATTTTTTCCTTACTTGTTGGATATGTAGGCTTGAACAAATGCGCCCGAGTCACCAGAACAATTCTCGCTGCTTCTGGACTAGAAATCATCACACAAGGACATCCCAATATGTGGGTCTTAAAAATGTCTCCAAACCTGCAAAATGAGCTTAATTATCAAGAACCAAAAAAAGAAAAGAGCTACACAAAAATATTTCAAAGAAAAGAAGAGAGAACTATATATTTATGGTACATATTGTGGAGCTTTTGTATACCGTTTTTGCCTGTTGAAGAAGAAGGAATTTGGGTTCTCTGCATAGAGCTTGAGGGTCTCTCCAATATAAGGCCAACCCATTGAGCCAGGTGGTAGGCGTTTGTCTTTGGGGTGATATTGCCTTTGAAGATAAACAAGCAACAGTAGAAAACAACAGAACAGCACTCCAGGTACCATCAGAAAAACAACCTGAACCTGAGAATATCGTGAAGTTGCGAAAGCCAAGGGTGGTGATAAACTAAGTTGCATGTTTGTCAAAAAGAGAATAAATTAACTATTCAGAGGTGGCAGAGGCTAACTAGAACAACAAAGAAGTGAGACAGAGAGGTGGCAGAGGCTAACTCGAAGAGCTACTAGCAGTGGTGAGAGAGAGAGAGAGAGAGTAGTAGGGAGGGAGGGCTGTTGGCGTTAAGTAGGGGGACTTATATAGCGGGAAGGAGGGGTTTGCAGGTGACAAGCGTCACCACGTTTATGGGAATACCTTTCTCGTCAGCCCCTCTTTTAGGGCTACACCCCTACCTTACGCTGTATTAATCACCCTTTTCTCTGGATACCACTGTTTCTCTTTGGACACGTTCATTAGGACGATGAGGTACGGTTCCCGTGTTCTTCTTGGCATTAATTTAGGGACCAGGCTACTGCATCATTATCTACTTTATGTATTCAACATTTGTCTGGCACAGACCTTTAGCTTCTGTAATAATTCGATTTCCCATTTTTCTCATGCACGCGGCCAGTAGCTATCTCAATTAATCAAAACATTCATGCTTTATTAAACCAAATCAATTTTATATGTTATCTTGCTGATTTATTGCATCTATGAAATATAGACTGAGTTCACAACAGCACCGATCCACTGCCATATTTGGTTCAATGAATTAATCAGATTCACATAAAAGTTTCTTATACATAGAGGTTTTAAGAAATTCTAGCATTTACACCTATATTTCCTTTTCTTTTCTTGTTAATACTAATTAGCAATTAACACTGTACCGGATCAGCTAATAAATCTTTATTGGTTACAATTACTAACTCCAATGCTATCCAAATTGTTTGAATCTAAGTGATACTAATTATACGTGTAGCACGAGGAAATGGAAAAAAGAAACAAAAGAAAACGATGGGAGAGAGAGAAAGAGGAAGTTGATATTTAATAGCGTGACGATGATTTTTTTTTTTAAAATATTATTTTTTTATAAATATATTAAAATAATATTTGTAATTTTATTATATTAAAATTATTTAAAATTATAAAAAAATTAAAATTTATCTAACTCTTTTAAATAAAAGGCAATATCAAACAAAAAAAAAATTGTCCCAAATAGTGTGTTCATTGAAGTTTTAATACCAAACCCTTGAAAAAGGAAAAAAAATAATTATTGGTATTACTGTTCAGATGTTATCAAATTGATTTATTTATTATTATTTATTTATTTTAACTTTTAAGTGTTTTGCATGAGAATTATAAAAAATCACTTAAAAAGTTAATTTAATAGTTTTTTAACAAAAAAATACACTTAAAAAAACTGGATTTTCAAAACCACACGAAAACAAGTATCAAACACGATGGGAAGCTTCTACAGGTGTGTGATGTGTATAACCTCTAAGTACTTGTCAGTTCGCGGGAAGAGAAGGGAAAGACATGACAATGCCTCCATGATTACCTCAAACTCATTGTCAGTACTTGTCAGCCCGGCCCTTCGCGGCCTGGCCCAGCCAATCTTATCCCGGCAGCGTTGTCGGCACCATTGTGTTCCTGCATACGTGTCGTTAGCCAAGAGCGTTAGCTTGACTATGTTTATGTTACCACTTTACTAATTGGGACTAGCAGTTTTCACGTGTCATGTATATGTTTACCTTAATTTTTTTTTTAAAAAAAAAGACAAAGAAGGAAGAAGCTATTATTGGATTATTTATTTTATATCTACCTCATTAATAGTTTATATAGCTATAAATCAAGATACATAAAAAAAAATATTGATTATACTTTTGATTAAATAATTGAAATAATTTTTTGATTGCCTTCAATTATTCAATCTCTTGATCTCTTTCTTTTATTGATTAGTAATTATTATTTAGTTAAATGTTTTTTCATGATTTGAATTTTTAAATAATTATTTTATTCTAGCTGTTATTTTTTTCAATTATCATAATTTCATAATCATTTTCTATGTACTTTTTTAGTAAGAACTCCCTCCCTTTCTCTTTTTTTATTTAAGGTGGTCTTTTTTATATCACTTTATCTTTTATCTAAGAATCTATCAACTTGCACTAAGACTATGTTTGTTTCTTGAAAAGTAGTTTTTAGAAAATTATTTTTCAAAATTTTCTATGTTTGTTTGCTATTAAAAAAGATGGTCAATAAAAAATATTTTTTGGTCAACAGAAAACACTTGTTAGTAAAAGAAAAACACTTTTCAATTAAAGAAAAATTTTACTTGGTTTCCAGGAAAGTGTTTTTTCTTTTGGCTGTGTTTGTTTTCAGGAAAATGATTTCCAGGAAACCACTTTTCAAATTTTCATGTGTTTTTTTGCATTGGAAAGTTAGTCAACGGAAAACACTTTCTAGTCAAAGTAAAATTGAGCTTGGTTTTCAGAAAAGTATTTTCCTGAAAAAATTGGACGGAAAATACTTTTTAAAAGTTGTGAAAAATTTAGATATATCATTATTTGTTGGTTACATTAAATTTGATCATCAAACTTTTGATTGCTATATATATTTTATTTTAAATATTTATTTTTTAATTATCATTATTTGTTGGTTGCATTAAATTTAATCATCAAATTTGAATATTTATTTTTTAATTATCATTATTTGTTGGTTGCATTAAATTTGATCATCAAACTTTGATTACTATATATATATATATATATATTTTTGAATATTTATTTTTTAATTTTATCTCTTA